TTATCTTCTTACCTCACACCTCCACGAAATCTGAAACATGGGCCATATAATAATGATCTGCTTTACAAGGGCACTAGGAAGATGGCTGTGAGGATTGTTATGAAACACCTTTAAGATGAAGAAGTATTCAATAATTCTAAAGAATAAAGAGAATTTTAAAACCACCCTTCTGAGTCTCAGCACATGATGTAAACGTGACACTTTGACTGATCACAAGCAATAAGCTGACTCGCTAGCCAACAATTAACATTGACATGTTTTCAGAGTCATTTCCCTTCTAGTAAGGGATGAAAAAGATCAAAGAGAGGGTACCGAACGTGAGTGAAAGGCATATCTTCTTTCCGAAGTGTGGTGACTGAGATCTAAAACTCCTTCTCCTATTGCTGTGCCCTCTTCCTCCAGATATCACTTTCAATGCCATTCTAAAGGTGCCTCAGAAATGTTATTTGGAACAAGAAAGTGGGCAGCAATGTAGAAGAGGAGGCAGGAAAGCTCTAACATGTATAGTCTGTTCCAGGAAAGTGAAAGAACAATGGGATTTATTTCTTGGTCTTTCTCTACACAAAACACATGGCAGCCATCTTGTAAGACCCAACCCCAGAGAGATCAAGCAAGCCCTACCATAACACAGAAAGGAATGCCACCTCAGGTGGCAGATACTGCAGGTGGCACCACCCTAGACTGGCTTGCTCCATTCCCTTTAACATGCCATCCTCAGGCACATTGGAGCATGTTGGTCCATCAGTCAATATACATGGGCACCATCTTGACTTTTGTCATGGATTGCAAACTATCTTTGGTCAGTCTTAAGACACCATTCATGCAATTAGCAATAGTGCAAAAAGCTTTTTAAAAAGTAAACAGCATATTGTACAAAGAAAGAAAGCTGCTCTGTATAATTGTGCTTTTTGGCCGCATCTCCCAGAATTCTGCCTGGGGGAATACTTAACTTCAGAGTCTAAAGAGTCCTAAAACTCTGTCCCCAATTCTGACATCTTCTACAGGTATTGAACTCAGTGTTCTGTTTTGTTTTTAAACCACTTATGCTGAGGCATTAATACAAATATAATAGAGGCATTTAAAAAAGCTAGCATACGAAGCAGTGCAGGTGACATCAAGTCTGACCTTTGTGGGCTTGGCATACCCATTCTGAGGTTTCCTGTAACAACATCCACCCTGAAAAGACCCATCCAACCTCTCTGTGAAACAAAGAGCCTTGGTTAAAGTTCAGCTGATTGCCAGGAATCATCCACGTGTGCATATCGTGCAGAGTAGGAAATCTGGGAACTTCCTGTCCCTCTGTTTGTTTCAGTATTTCCTTTAATTTCAACACTTCATGTTAGACTTACATTATGCATCTGAACAGGAAAGCATGTGCCAGCAAGTAAATATAGGCACAAACCTGGAAAATGATGGTTTGTTAGCCATGCACCACGAGTACAAACCACCTTGAACCAAATGGAAAACCGAACTGGTTTGTGGTTCGGTTTTTGGTTCATGCCCAATGGGGGGTGGGTGGTATACTGCCATGCTGCTGCACTGTCACTGCCTCTGCCCCAACACTGCCGCTATACCACTGTTTTGCTGCTGCTGTATTGCCACTGCTGCCACCACCGTGCTGCTGCACCACCGCCACCACCACCACCACACCACCAGCAGGACAAAACATGATCCCCGAACTGGGTTGTAAACTGAAGTACAAACCAGCCTGATTTATTGGTGTTACTGGTTTATAATTCGGTTCATGCCACCACCACACCACCAGCAGGACAAAACAGGATCCCAGAAGTGGGTTGTAAACTGAAGTACAAAACAGCCTGATTTATTGGGTGTTACTGGTTTATAATTCGGTTCGTGCCTGTAGCAAACAGCTCTGACCTCACCTGCCCATCACTGCAGAACATTGACACAGGAGCCAATGAGAGAATGGAAGGCGGAGCCAGGGGGAGGAGGAAAAAGATAAAGAGACCGGTGGAGAGAGTTTTGAGAGGGACTGTGTGTGGCTTGAAAGGAGTGAAGTGTGAGTTGGAGAACTGTAAGCATGGAGACTGAAACAGAGGGTGAAAGAGTTAAGAAAAAGTATTCTAATAGAGTCAATA